ACCCAGCCCTGTCTATCACAGATCACATAGGTAATATCCACTTACAGATAAGCAGCTTCAGCAAGTCATCCTCCTCAAAAACAGAATGTGCTTAAGACAAAGGGATGTTGGTGCAATCTTATTTCTGAAAAAGAAGGACATTGTGTTATAAGATATCCTGAATAAAAAAATATCTCATTAAAGTAGCTGAATTGATATGTTTTATATATTTCAGATGAGTGTATTAATATGAGACAAGTGTGAATTTATTATCAGTACAATCTAAAGGGTGCTCCCTGTCTGGTTATTGGTTGAAAATACACTCATTGGAAAATAGATAGACTGCCAAAAGAACTTGTCTCCCCATTTCAAACCAATCTGTGTGAGAGACAAGCTCCATTTCAGTGTAGGACTTTGTTGCAGATATATTCTTGCCTTACAGAGAATTAATTTATTGGAGAAATATGGCTGCACACAAAAGTGTGATGTTCTGATATTCCGCAAGCATCATTAATGGAGGTGATGTGTTAATATTCAAATACAATATATGATATATGTATATAATATATTTATCACATCTTAACCCCAGAATAATCTGATTGCCTGTGGAAAACTGATCTGATCTTCCACTTTATGTTGTGTCTGAAGTGAGGAATGTTCTCCAAGAGAAGGCTGACAAACAGGAATCAACAAAGTACAAGATTTGATGTTCAGCTGACTACCATATTCGCTGACATAACCGCCTGGGTGGTTACAAAGTTGACAATGGGGGGAGCTTATTAAAACCATACACAAGTCAAAGTCATGCATACTTGTCAAAGAAATCTGGGTATTGTATTGTTTTTGATAATAGTAACTTGGAAATTATATACTACTCAAAAGAATTTTAACACCTAATTTTTTCAAGAGACCATATTTAATCTGCCATGGCCATGCCAGGTTAACTATAGTCATGTGAAAAAAACATTGGTGGCAACAACACAACAAAATAAAGACTCTTGTGATGTTTGGGCTTAGAATGGGGCCCTTCTAAAGATTCCTCACAGTGTTGTTGATTATGGGGTGCTTAATACAGGGAATACGGTAATTGTGCTTATACAAATAAGAATGGTTGAAAACAACAATTCCACAAAGGAATGTTCAAATTGGTTAGTCAGAGGTATCAAATCACTGAGTTTCAATCACATGGTTACAATCCAGGTAACAATCGACATGACTGGAGCGAATATATTTAGCAGCGTGTGCAGTGTATGTACATTACCAGCATGAGCTGAAAGAAAAGTATGTGCAGATGTAGTATTTAAAGCACTCTTGACCCCGGTTACATGCTAAATACACCTGCTCGCAGTCACTTGACTGTCGATTGTCACCCGGATTGTAACCACGTGATTAAAACTCAATGATTATGTTTATCGCTAAGAAAATGGACATTTCTTAAAAAGTGCACTTTGCAGTTTTTACTATTACTGCAATATTGTTTATTGGCAGAATGGCTTGTTTTCACTTTATAAGTATTAGCACAACTGCAGCTCTTAATTATCGAAATATTTTGTGTTTCTATGTTAAAGTGGCGAGGACAGTTGTGTCCTGGCTGTGTTTGTGTTACATTGTACCCTATCAATAATCTTCAATGGTTGCGGGGAACAAGGCATTGACTAACTATCACCAATGAGAAGACAACATGAAGATGCATCTTTAGAGGAGGTAATAGGTTGTATCATGGACCCTATATATAAATCGTATTAAGTGTCCATGGTTACATAGAGAGAGGTATTGAGGAATATATATAATTTATGATAGTGCTGCCAATCAGAGACTTATAAAATTATAATTGTGTTGTAAATCCAACAGTGCACATTGGAAGACGGGTCACAATTGGCAGCTCCCACCTAACACTTAACAAAGCACGAACGAGGACGGCAAGTACATAACATAGTCACCAGGTCAAAGGGAAGGAACTCTAACTAGTATTTAATGAAGTGTCCGTAAAATCCATGTTTTTAGTGTAGTGTCGTGTGTGTGTGTGTGTGTGTGTGTAAGCTTGAAATTTGCAGTGATGATGATGATGATGCTGATGATGATGATCAGCCATATGTGGGTTTTTCAAAAAAATATCTCACAACCAAATAAAGATAAGGCCTTATTTAATCATGGATCCGTCCAGCATTTTGGATGTACACTTGAAGGGAAATAACTCATAGGGCATGTTATGAGAAGCGGTCATAAAATATACGAAATGGTGTATAAGTTTATACAAATATACTGTTTGAATGGACGGACGCGCCATTCCCCAAAACAACTGAAATCGAACAACCGCAATTGTATCATAATGAAAGAACCCGTGAAGATCCGGGTTACAATTAGTTTTTAGCAACCGATGCTTGTCGTAAGAGACGACTAACGGGATCGGGTGGTCAGGCTCTGACTTGGTTGATGCATGTGATTGTTTCCCAGATCGATTCTCACTGGATTGTCTGGCCCAGACTCGAGCAACAAACACACAAATCAAAATGAAACGGATTCATCTGAGGTAAAATTCATGCCTATTTACTTCAATGGGCCGTCATCTTTGACCCAAACACCATTATGTAGGTACCTGGTATGCCTAACTTCGGCATGGCTTGAGCTCCAGGGCGTGGAGTCATCCCACAGATGACATCCTTACTTTGCCCGCTTGCTGACGGGATTAACCTCTTTGGTCATGTGGACAAGACGTCCAACCGCGGATCAGAAGGTCCGTGGTTCGAATCCCATCACGGGACTCGGAAATTTTATGGCCGCTACATTAGCGCCCAATTTGGGGCTGGGCACGTTCATATTAAATTTGAGCAAAATAAGCCTCAGTACCCTACTATGCGGCCCGGGACATGCCTTCTGTTGACGTGGGAGTATGTAGCAGGGCGTGGAGTCATCCCGCAAATGACATCCTTACCTTGTCAGCTTGCTGACGGTGTTGACTTCTTTGTGGACAGAAAGTCCGTGGTTCGAATCCCATCAAGGAACTCGGAAATTTTATGGCCGCTACATATAGATCATTATTAAAAAACCCATAGCCGTGTCTTTCCATTTATATACACACGAGCTCTTGTGATATTCGTCGCCAGAGAAATATTTTGCCCTGTACGTATTCTTAAAAGAACAAGAATTGTATGTGTATTGAAATGTAAGCAAGGTGGAATATCTCTATGTGAAATCATCTAATTATTACAATAACATTGATGGTGATCGTCTTTTCCATCCGAGACCTACATCTAGACCGAGACCTAGACCTACAACTAGGCCGAGACCTAGACCTACACCAAGGCCGAGTCCCAGACCTACAGCTAGACCGAGACCAAGACCTACAGCTAGATCGAGACCCAGACCTACATCTAGACCGAGACCTAGACCTATAGCTAGACCGAGACCTAGACCTACAGCTAGACCGAGACCAAGACCTACAGCTAGATCGAGACCTAGACCTACATCTAGGCCGAGACCTAGACCTACATCAAGGCCGAGACCTAGACCTACATCTAGGCCGAGACCTAGACCTACATCTAGACCGAGACCTAGACCTACATCAAGGCCGAGACCTAGACCTACATCTAGGCCGAGACCTAGACCTACAGCTAGACCGAGACCGAGACCTACAGCCAGACCGAGACCTAGACCTTTATCTAGACAGATACCTAGACCTATATCTACACTGAGACCTAGACCTACAGCTATACCGAGACCTAGACCTACATCTAGACCGAGACAGAGACCTACATCTAGACCGAGACCTAGACCTATATCTAGACCGAGACCTACATCTAGACCGAAACCTAGACCTATATAAAGACTGAGACCTAGACTTGTATCTGGATCTAAATCTAGACCTACAAACTGCCTGTTCTAGTGGATAGAAGCTCTGTCCAAAGAACGGAGTTCGGTGGTTCGATCCCCTGGCAGCACCATTACCAAAAGACGTTAAAATGTGGTATTTGTGTTGCCCTTGCTGGCGCTCGGCATTAAGTGGATAAAATAAGGACTGGTCAGAATACTGTGTAGGAGTTGGGTATCCATGCCATGTTATACTGCGACGTGGTATCTCATTGGGCTAGCAATATATAACCGACATTAGTTCGGACGAATACAAGCAAGGACGCACGCATGAACACATACACGTGCATGAATGGTAAACTTCATTTCACCTCTTGACCTGCATCTTCAACTACATCTACACCTACAAGTAGACCTAGTGCTATATCTGCAATACAATTATTTAGACCTACATCCAAACGTAAATCTTGACCAACACATGTACACCTACAAGTAGACCTAGACCTACATCTACACCAAAATTTAGACCTACATCTAAACGTACATCTAGACCTACAAATGGATAGATTTCTGAAAACTGCATGAACAAAAAAAGCATGCAAATACTTTTACATTAATTGCTGCCATTAAACACATGACATAAGGTAGATATTTGCCGTCAAATACGGTGAAATGCAATATTTGTTGCACTGAAATTGTTTGGAGTTAATGCGCGTGCCACCTTGCGCCTTGGGTAAGGCCATGGTGAATTGATATTACAGTATTTTTGATGAGAGATGATACGGGGAACGATTTAGGTAGTCAATCAAATTACGTCAGTCAGTGTGACCCTATCAGAGATACGATGAGAAGTTAATACAGCGTGACCGGTGGTCGTCAACTGTCCAGTCAAAGAGGCGGCCTTCTCTTTGACCGCGGTCAATAACCGGTGCAGTGATGTAATGTTGGCGGTGTCCGGGACACATCCTGGAGCTTGCCAGTATGATGTACACAGTCTTACATGAATGGTGAATATAAACAATCACTATTTAGAGAATCATTGCTTCATTTGCATGCGAAACAGAGTGTCTATATATATGGAAGTGCGGAGTTAACTCCCTTTGGCTTACTCCGTTCAGTGTCTGTGACAGTCTGTGTAATTGGCACCGTGTCTTGCTCCAAGCGCTTCAAGAAATAGTCTATTAATAGTCTATCAAACTAACGTGATTTTCCGCTATTATGCAATAATGTCATCAGTGATATAACCATGACAACAGGCTATGGTCAAGTGTTGACCAATGACCTAGGAAAGGCAGTTGTTTGTATAGTGGCCTTCTATTCCTTCCTGGTTAAAGTGATACAGATGGACATTTTCCGTCACACTCTACAGTCACGCGATGACCAGTTCACAACGCTGAAAAGTCAAAACGACACGTATAAATATATGCAGCTAAAGGATTTCCCCGTTGTACTAAATCTTTGAAACGATGCGTTACACGTCAAATGGGGACCATACACCGGCCTATACCGATGTTTTCTAATCGCATGAACGTCGTTACATTTATGAACGTCTCGTCATAAACCGCGAGAAGCGCGTCATGTCTGTGACGTCATACCATTGTTGATTGTGTCGAGTGACGAATCTTTGGAAACATCGCAGCCTCTGTGAGCAGAAGGATTACTGAAAAATAGTTTACAGTTCAAACAAACTTCTTGGGGTAAGTATATTATGTTTTCAGGCTAACTTCCAACATTTTATTTGGGACAGAATAGTTTATCCATCCATTTTAAGTATAAATGTTCATGAATTGAAGACTATTGTCGGAATCAGATTAAAAAGAATAAAACATACTTTCTGAATAATTGTTTTCACTGATTATAATATCGGCCCAAAATATCCACTCTTATAATACCCACTATACAGTGCCGTAGCCAGTCGGGGGGAGGAGTGGGGGTGGGTGAGGAGGAGTTGCACCCTAAAACAACATCCTGTATCCGCGCTTCGCTAACAATATTGGCTTCTCATTCTGAGATGGTAGACCCAATAAACTGTATTTAACAGTATACTTTCGGTGTAAATCAAAATAATCATAATGACAGAGTGTTTCTTTGTTTTCCTGACAGCCTACTGAAGATGATGAGTGTATGGATCGCTTCCTCGGCCGTTGTCGCCGGCGCCTATGTAGCTTTTAAAGGTATATATAACTGTAATATCTGCAATGCGGTCATCATCATCTGCCAAGCCTCGGGCTTTAAACAACACACGTGGTATGCATACATGCTGTATGGTCCATCTACTCCCCGGTCGACTATACTGAATCTCTGTAGCTTTAATTATATCGAATTATTTTATGAGCACGTGTGCAACTTTGAGTGGAATTTTTAATCGCTCAACATAAGTGAGCTACCCAGTGATCGATAGTATGATCAACGTCGGATCCGATGACACACGATCAGCCGAGTTATAGAATGTGATCCCCCAATCTCAATATCATCGTCGGCTTACATGAGGTGCTTCACGTATGCGTGAAAGGCTTTGTACATGAAGTATGTTGTAAAAGGGTCAGAACTGCCAAGGTTTACCTACGTTGTCATATTCAAGCAGCATGTCTAGGACAGTAGTTGGTTCTGTTAATGCATATGTTTAGTACAGAGGCGTGAAAAGAAAATGAAGCGTTTAAAAGTGCTTGATATCTGAGTAATATTCAGCCCTACAATTCTTGAATGTCTCATCTTTGTGATCAATTTCAGCCGCATTTTCTTGGTACGAGGCAATACGGCGTCCAACTTTGACCAAAGTGGAAGTTGAAATAATCCCCCCTGCCTTCCTCTCCTCTTCTCCTTGGGGTCAAAGGCCAACAATGCCTCACTCGCGACCGTCTGCCCGCCTTTCCGATGATGCTAAAGTTGCCCATCTGAAACTTGCCACCTCCCAGCTCTACCGCCGCTCAAGGGTGGCCACGTGAATCACTCCCATGTAAAATTGTGGACTTGTTCAATCGGTTACTCGGCCGAGGAACTGATATTGAGATGAATATGATATGTTGTATTGTTGAAAGGAGGTGCTAAATCAAGGCACTCGTATGTTTTATTTGGAATATTTTGTATATTTTGTTGTCGATTTCTCTAGGAATATATTCCGCGAATTGTCATTGCATGTGTCAAATGAAGTGCTATTTATTGTCTCAGATTAAAATGTATAAAAGAAGCATTGTGTTTTCCCTACAAGACAGGACCCTAGATTTGTTTGCTAGGACAGGTTTGGTTGACAAAGAAGATACGCGTTTATATACTATAGTATTAACAACTTCTTTATTATACTGTAATAGCGACGATTTGGAAAAGATCCTATACCGAACGTCACTATTATAGCATAATAAATAAGTTGTTATCCATAAACCTATCTATGTATACTTTGTCATCCGTCAACTTCTGAGAAATGACAATCAAACAGTTGAAGTTGGGTTCAGTCAAAGTCGCCATGTAAACTGGCGTGTTACCCAAATGGGAGAGGAGTGAATTAATGAATCCACTTTTCGTTCATTCCCAAAGCTACAACAAGCCGCACTATCACTATCCAGAGTGAAATTACTGACTTCTTTTACCAAGCTAAGTCATTGAATTAGATAAAAAATCAAGTTCATCATGTAGCTGAAACTACATAAAAAGTCATTTAAAAAATTTAGTTATCTTAACCGACCTGCGCCAAAACGGACTATGTAATGTGGACAAACGGTGTTTCACCACTATCTGTGGCCTTATGCCTAATAGGAAAATTGACAGATGATGAGATATGCGTTATTTGTCTAGACGGATACTCTTACATACAATTTATCACGTGTATGTTATATTGTGTATGAAGTATATTTTGGATATTGATAGGATAAGAGTAACGAAAGTTTAATGAGTATCCACATTGTGATCCGATCCCGCAATCAAACCGCGAATACGAAACTGGGGACTACTTGTAGTCAAAATGTTGGCTTTGCTTGTACTCGTTGCTAGTCCAAACAAACATGGCGGCGTAAACGCAGATGTTCGCTAGACGTTTGCATCAGCTGTACATGTAACTGCTACGATGGAGTAATGTACGTATTTCTTCTGTATCCCAATATAGATGTTACAGGACAAAACTGAATAAGTACATTATTATTCAGCCAATCACATTGCTGGAGATTGAGCAGATGACCGCAAGGTGTGATGGTGTCTATCTTCATCTTTCTAACAGCAACAATCTAAAATAACAATAGCTTTAAACATGTGAAATTAAATAGTATGTTTGCACTTTCGTAAATATTGTAAATGCCCATTATATATTTAGTCTTCTAAACGTCACTATGCACTCGTCATACAAAATGTACTATACACCCAATGATCATCTGCAAATAGCCTAGCCTAGCCTGAGCAATGAGAAGCATTCAAATAATAGCAGCTTTCTAAATTCTCTGATTTCGCTGCAGAAATTCTGTATACCATTAAAAATAGTATGTTACACCTTGTTCTTAATCATTTTCCTAGCAATGTTACAGAGAATGTGATCATGTTGATGGGTTGTCAAAAAGTAAACTTAGGTCCTCAGTGATCCATGAAAACACCCACAGCAAATAGATCAACATACCTGTCATTTGTCACTTTTAGGCCACTAGTCCTTATAATGATAACATATAGCAAAACCCTTAAAAATGGCATATTTTTTACTAGTCCTTATGATTCCTTAATTATTTGCCAGTTTGGCAACGACTACAGGACTAGGGCCAATTTCTAACGCAGAGGCGAAATCACATGTTTGTCACCGAAATTGTCCCTTATCATTTCATAAAGGTTATCATTTGTATGCAAAAGATAGGCCTTTGTTAAATCGTGAAATCTCATCATCGAAACAATCAGGTTACGGTCTGGGACATCAAAATCGTCCGATATCAAATGTACCATAATACCTCTTTCCTTGGACGTCAGGCGTTTATTAATCACGCCAGAGCCGTTGACCCGGCATGTATTCAAGACCTGGCTTTTCTTTGCGACCCAGCGTGTAATGGAGGAAATATTGATGAGTTTTACAGTTCCTATGGGTGATCGATCGGCAGACATTTTATTTATGGATTGATATGTAGGCTATCGATGTATTCATATGCTGGGTTTTGGTGTGAAAAGGCTTAATATATTTAAAGGAGATTTCTGTTGCAAAAAGGAAACCTCTTTTTAACCAAGCAGAATCAAGCATTCTTCAATGTCATGGTAGAAGTTATCCATAGGTTAATTCTGAGTTGAAAATTTTAGTGTCTACCGCTGATTCACTGAAACAAACGATAATTAAAGTAAAATATAACATTACAAAATAACTTTATTTATATGACAACATGTTGTTCACAAACTTTTTGTGATCGATATTCATTGCCATCTCTGTCAACCACCAACGTTAGGTTTTGTCACGAAGGGATTTGGACGACTGTGTCAGGGACACAGTTGTCACATTTCTTTCACATGCTTTCATCGAATGCAGTGAAATCTTGAAACTGACAGGTGATGGGTTAAATGAAGAATCCCTCGTGTCAATGCTGGCTCATCTGCAGCCTAAAACATGGCTGTACAGTCATATTCCAGTCACAGAACAAACCAGATGACTATTGGACATCAATATGACATCACCTAACAGTAGGTGTGATAATGGCCCTTCATCAAGCTATATGAAGGCATTATCAAGTGACACTGGCCCGCTCATTTCTGATAACAAGCGGGCGGTTTAATGATAATTCTATCCATTTTAGCTATAATGTTGTCATCTTGCCTTGTGTTACTTGTCTGAGGCACAGAGACTGTCCAAAACAACATTCACAGCCATTGACAGTAGAGATGAGTGACACATCCAAGTCCGGGGTGGAGAGGCCTTATTTTTGAAGTTGTATTATTTACTAGGGGTAATGGCTAACTAACTAATAAGACTTACACATTTAAAATACTTAGTAGAATGTTAATTAATAAAGTTTGTTTGAGAAATAAATTTATTAAGTATTTTTTAAACTCTTTCTACAACCTGTCACTCCTACATTGAGAGATGACATATGTGATTTCCAAAAAATGATTTGGTGAGTCCAAGCAGTGCACAACAGTTTGCAATGAAATTAAAACACATATCTTTGGACTCAATTTGTAGGGTTATTTGTCAACTTCTTTCTTAAAAAAACATGTGCATATTAGTGTTCAACTTTAGTAATATTTGTTACATTAATGACTTACTGTGACCCCTTTTCAGAATGTTGTAAGAGAGCGGACCTTAGTACCTGTGTAGGTACACACTGCTTTCATATCTCTCTGGTCGTCATGGGGGGCACAGGTGGCCCAGTCGTCTATGGCACTGGGTTTGCCCCGATTATGTTTCTAGGTTTGTCAGTACCATATCCATGCTCATGGGTTTCACCAAAGTGGTAAACATCCGAGACCTGCATCCCTTCGGGCTGACACGCTGTGATATAACTGGAATAATGTTAAAAGCGGCGTTAAACCCAACTCACTCACTCACTCTTGTCGTCATGGTAAAATAGAGATAAACCTACTGTTTTGAAATTTGATGTAGTCCAACTGTAGAGTAAATACCTCTTATTCAAACATTTGAAACCTGAGCGCCAAAGCGCTCCATAAAATCATGTCTATCCATGCACGCACTCGCACACACACATGGGATGTTAGTGACTAACTAAAATACATTATTCTTAGAACAGTACTTTCTGTATTAACAGCAGGTTTTTTTTATAAATGAAATGCAAGGACCTGTCTTCTTTCACAGTTTGGATTTGATTTCCAGCACCCCTGGCCAAAAAAGTAGTCTTTCAATATGGGTAAGAAAGGGAAGAAGGGGAAGAAAGGGAAGAAGGGGAAGAAAGGAGGGAAGAAGAGCAAGGAACCTCAGATGACAGCAAAGGAAGCTATCCTGGGATATCAGTGAGTTTTAACTCATCACACAGATTCATGCAACCAGAATTAACTTTTAAGTTCTGAACAGTGACAACACTCCTTTGCAATGATAAAGTGTGTGTTCATTCTATATCAGTCTCTACACTTGTTCAGGACTCAATGACCCCAATTGTGTTTCCAGGTCTGTCAGCACCATACCCGTGCTCGTGGGTTTCACCAAAGTGGTAAACATCTAAGACCTGCATCACTTGGGTCTCTCCTCCACATCCAGCTGACACCAAATTCAATTCGTGCTGTTAAACTTGTGATATGTCAAATACAGTCAAGCATAAACAATTATGTGGTTTCAGTCGTTACTGAATACTGTAAATCTAGAATGTTTTGCGATCATTTATAGTTTAAAAATCCCTGAGTGACACTGAGTTCCCCTTTCATCATGCCGCTTCCTACTAATCAACTATAACACAACATCTGTAATAATGGATGACAACATTGATATCATGTGCTTTTAAGTCCATGATCAGGTACTGTTGTATCTGGGGCGGTCGGGTAGCCTAGTGGTTAAAGCGTTCGCTCGTCACGCCGAAGACCCAGGTTCGATTCCCGACATGGGTACAATATGTGAAGCCCATTTTTGGTGTCCCCCGCCGTGATATTGCTGGAATATTGCTAAACGCGGCGTAAAACCATACTCACTCACTCACTCACTGTTGTATCTGAATGAGAAAAACGATTCAGAAACTATTTCAGATTTCATTAGCCAGATGCTGTCAGAAACATTTCCAGCTGCAATTTGGACTATGTGGAAGCTGGTATGGGGAGTTTTTTTTCATCTAGGTTTCATCAACCTCTCTGAATATTAAGTATTTTAAGTCACTTATATTTCAATCCTGTATTTGCACTGATAAGGGTCCCTGTTTTGTCAGCACCATGTATGTGCTCATGAGTTTCACAAAAATGGTAAATGACAAAAGCCATATAAACAACACATACCTGTCTATGTGGCCCCACCTCTGTATTAAAAGAACACATACCTGTGTATGTGGCCCCACCTCTGTATGTAAAAGAAAACAAACCTGTCAATGTGGCCCAACCTCTGTATGTATAACAACACATACCTGTCTATGTGGCCCCACCTCTGTATGTAAAAGAACACATACCTTTCTATGTGGCCCCACCTCTGTATGTAAAAGAAAACAACCTGTCAATGTGGCCCCACCTCTGTATGTAAAACAACACATGTATACCTGTCTATGTGGCCCCACCTCTGTATGTAAAACAACACATGTATACCTGTCTATGTGGCCCCACCTCTGTATGTAAAACAACACATGTATACCTGTCTATGTGGCCCCACCTCTGTATGTAAAGCAACACATACCTGTCTATGTGGCCCCACCTCTGTATGTAAAACAACACAAACCTGTCTATGTGGCCCCACCTCTGTATGTAAAACAACACATACCTGTCTATGTGGCCCCACCTCTGTATGGAAAACAACACATACCTGTCTATGTGGACATGTCTCTGTATGCTGTAGCATCATAAGAGTTACCTCCCTTGGACTATAAGTCATGAGTTATTAACTGTTTTGTGATGAATATTTTTTCAAGCACTGTAACATGTAGTTAGTTTTCTTGCCATGAAATATGATAATTTGGCATAAATATAAGAAACCATAATGTTTTCTACTCCAGGATCAACATTGTGGAGAAGAAATTAGAGGATGTGTCCTTTGAGATCCGTGGCTGGGAGGAGAAGAACAGACGCCACCTTGAGAGGGTAGGCAACTAAAACAATCGTCTGTCTCTGTGTCTGTTTAGTTAATCTATTCAAATATCATACATGTATTTCCATTACAAACCACATGAATACCAGACACTCTAGCTCATCATTTAATTGTTCCCAAGCACCTGCAAGGAAAATGACTATATGTGACCAACCATGAGTCTCATCATCATACGGGACCTTATAGGTGAAAAATCACAGTATGACTTCTTATTGCATTTTAAAATTACAGTATCTTACGAATACAAAAGTGCAAATTCATAAGCTTCAATTCATATTTATTACAGAGATACATGGCATTAAACATTTGGACTCACTTTCTGCAGTACCATTTTCAGACTTGTTACTGACATGTATGCTGAAATGTTTTGTAATGAAGTTTTTATTACATTGCAAACTTACAAGCAAAAGATAAGACTTTTAGGGAAGTATGTTGACGTCAACGTTTTTCTTTATGACATCAGAGCATAATTGCATCCTAGCACCCATAATGTCCCTTTTCTCCAGGTGGGTCATATATGTGTGTTCTCCTCTTTCTTTATTGTATGAAATATACCATATACCATCTATCCGAGGCAAGGGAGTTAACAGACTCTAAAAGTCCACTTCACCGTTTGCTAGACTAAGCTGTGATTTTTAGGTTCAATCTAAGTGCCTCCAGTGGCTCTTCTGAGTTCTGTCCCTTTTATGTCCCTCCTATTGACCAATCGTATTCCACCTCTCATATCACTTGCTTTTGCATTAAAATGTGCATCAAAATTGTGGCGACCAGGGAAGATGACCTGACTGATAATCAAGATCTATATTGTAATAAAAAGGGTCTTACTTCGTGAAGTGCATCAAATCTTGTGAGCACCTTGATGAAAAGATTTGGAAAATATCTGTTGATGCTAACATGCTTTGCAAATCCTACAATTGATCGAAATCTGCACTTCAGTTTATGAACCGGATGTCAATTTCATTACCCGATTTTGATTGAACTATGCATAGGCTCATTAGTCTAGGCAAAATATAACTCCATAATTTCAGCATAGTTCATCAAGGGTGGAAACTGGACTTTTACTGTCAGATAACTCCCTTGCCTCGGGAAGATGACCATATACAAAGTCCAACCAAACATGCACTCTTTAGGTGAATTACATCCACCAATATGGACAGATACCATGATCAATTTGTTATAAAAAATATATGCCAAAAAATAGAATGCCACTACGTCACATTTGTTATACGAGTAATACAAGTCATAAACGTGACCCACCATCATAGTATCTTTGGCACACAAGAATACAATTCACAAGCTCCAATTCATATTTATTACAGAGATACATGACATCAACATTTGGACTCAATTTCCAACTTATAACTGTTTATACAATAATTTCAGTTTTTGGAAATAATGTCTGATGAATTGAAAGTAGATATGTATGCTGAAAGGTATTGAAATAAAATGTTTTTATTACATTACAAACTGACGAGAGAAAAATAAGATATTTTTGTGCATTATGCACACATGGCAATCTTCACTGAAGTAAGTTGATGTCAAACGTCTTTATGATGTCACAGTACAATTGTATCTAAGCACCCATAAGGTCCTCTTCTCCTTGTAGGTCCGAATCTTGATTGTAGGCATTAGGGCTGCAACGAATACACTATGAGGTGAATGGGATTCATATCACGAATATAGAGTAACGAATACGAATATTAATGCACTCATACAATAAAAAGTCAGCTGTTGATTGTAGCTGTATGGGGGTTGTCAAGGGTTTGTGATGCATGTGTCCAGAGGTATTTTGGAGGTGTAGCTGTATGGGGGTTGTCAAGGGTTTGTGTTGCCTGTGTCCGGGGGTATTGTGGAGGTGTAGCTGTACAGGTGTTGTTAAGGGTTTGTGTTGCCTGTGTCCGGGGGTATTGTGGAGGTGTAGCTGTACAGGTGTTGTTAAGGGTTTGTGTTGCCTGTGTCCGGGGATATTGTGGAGGTGTAGCTGTACAGGTGTTGTTAAGGGTTTGTGTTGCCTGTGTCCGGGGATATTGTGGAGGTGTAGCTGTATGGGGGTTGTTAAGGGTTTGTGTTGCCTGTGTCCGGGGATATTGTGGAGGTGTAGCTGTATGGGGGTTGTTAAGGGTTTGTGTTGCCTGTGTCCGGGGATATTGTGGAGGTGTAGCTGTATGGGGGTTGTTAAGGGTTTGTGTTGCCTGTGTCCGGGGATATTGTGGAGGTGTAGCTGTATGGGGGTTGTTAAGGGTTTGTGTTGCCTGTGTCCGGGGATATTGTGGAGGTGTAGCTGTACAGGTGTTGTTAAGGGTTTGTGTTGCATGTGTCCGGGGATATTGTGGAGGTGTAGCTGTATGGGGGTTGTTAAGGGTTTGTGTTGCCTGTGTCCGGGGATATTGTGGAGGTGTAGCTGTATGGGGGTTGTTAAGGGTTTGTGTTGCCTGTGTCCGGGGATATTGTGGAGGTGTAGCTGTATGGGGGTTGTTAAGGGTTTGTGTTGCCTGTGTCCGGGGATATTGTGGAGGTGTAGCTGTATGGGGGTTGTTAAGGGTTTGTGTTGCATGTGTCCGGGGATATTGTGGAGGTGTAGCTGTATGGGGGTTGTTAAGGGTTTGTGTTGCCTGTGTCCGGGGATATTGTGGAGGTGTAGCTGTATGGGGGTTGTTAAGGGTTTGTGTTGCATGTGTCCGGGGGTATTGTGGAGGTGTAGCTGTATGGGGGTTGTTAAGGGTTTGTGTTGCATGTGTCCGGGGATATTGTGGAGGTGTAGCTGTACAGGTGTTGTTAAGGGTTTGTGTTGCATGTGTCAGGGGATATTGTGGAGGTGTAGCTGTATGGGGGTTGTTAAGGGTTTGTGTTGCCTGTGTCCGGGGATATTGTGGAGGTGTAGCTGTATGGGGGTTGTTAAGGGTTTGTGTTGCCTGTGTCCGGGGGTATTGTGGAGGTGTAGCTGTACAGGTGTTGTTAAGGGTTTGTGTTGCATGTGTCCGGGGATATTGTGGAGGTGTAGCTGTACAGGTGTTGTTAAGGGTTTGTGTTGCCTGTGTCCGGGATATTGTGGAGGTGTAGCTGTATGGGGGTTGTTAAGGGTTTGTGTTGCATGTGTCCATCAGGAGTGTGGGCGTACATAGCAGGGTGTGTTTAACCCAGGTTGCAAAGACAATTCAGATTATTTCTGAGTGAGTTATCCCCCTTGACTTTTCCAGAATGAGAAACTAAAGTCGGAGCAGCTACTGCTAGTGGAACACCTTCTCAAGCAGGCCAAGGATGCAGAGCGGTTCTTTGAGTCGGAGGAGATCAAAAACAGAGAAGATGTAGTCCTGGCCATGAAGAACATGTGGCTGCTTCGGCGGCAGCGAGAGAAGGAACTCGAAGGTGGGTGGGGCGTATTTGTTGCCTAAAACTGGTCATTCAAATTCTCCATTATGAAAAAGCCTTTTGTTCTCAGTAAAACCAAAATCAGATTTCCAGGGAAAGGTTTGTTTTATTGCTTTATATATATTTTTAAAAGACTGGTGTTTCTTTAATTCAACTCTTGAATATGCAACCAGAGAGCGGAGATATTAGTACAAGCTTGTGAGGCATGTTTTCTATTACCAGATCTGACTTTCCTATTTGCAGAGAAGAAGAGTGCAATAGCCATGGAACAAACTAAGATAGAGGGTGTGTCAAAGGAGGTCCAGTGCTGGTCGTGGTACCGGGACAAGGGCAAGGCCGAGCACGAGAAACAGATCCGCATCCTGGAGCAAGAACTGCAAGACATGCAGAACAGCTTTGACGAGATGGCAGGTATGTACTTCAACATCTACAGTTGGGGCACTGGTGACCCAGTGGTTGCAAGTGGCATAATTTGCTATGCAGAGTTGCTCCCCTTCACCAAGCCAGGATAAACTGGCTGTTGATTACCTTGTGAGGTACCCTGCCTACCTGTACCTCATTCCATGTGATGTAACCCTAAGACCACATATTTATGTCATGCACTGGGACCAATGAGATGTGATTGCACTGGGGTTGGTGTGGTTTCAAGGGGCTTCAACTGATAGTTTCCTGTGTCCTGTGTCCTGTGTTTTAATGAGCACCCATCTGTCCCTCTCTGTTTCAGCTCATCTGACCAAGTCTCTGGAGAAGTCCCGAGCTGAGGTAGATAAATACACAGAGGAGACTCTGGCCAAACAGAAGGATCTGGCTTCAGAGGTAGGGACATACTGGCAACACTGAAGGATTGCAACAAGTAGTGTGGATCTATTTTCTCTTTATTATTATCTCTTTATCATATTAGTGTGATGTGGGAGAGGTATATAAAAATGGATACTGTCTGTCGGGCCAATGAAATATATTAGAAATGTTGTAATGTTTGCAAGGTTTCTTAATGATAAGTGGGGCGGTCGGGTAGCCTTGTGGTTAAAGCGTTCACTTGTCACGCCGAAGACCTGGGTTCGATTCCCGACATGGGTACAATGTGTGAAGCCCATTTCTGGTGTCCCCTGCCATGATATTGCTGAAATATTGCTAAAAGTGGTGTAATATCAAACTCACTCACTTACTCACTCTTAATGGTAAGGAGGACATGAAAATGCACGTTATCAGATCATAGAATGATTGCCCTTGTTTTTCTGAAATGTGGACTTACTGAAAAAACAAAGATATGTAAGAGAGATGAGAGAATGAAAATTACTGGATCAAAGAGTTATTGCCCTTAGTTTTTGGAATCTTGACTTCACCTCATACTCAATGTCGTTGGCAGTGTGTTTTTGTATTGAAACATGCAAGGGGTGTTATATATGTCAGACTGACTGATCTGCTACTACCATAACTGATATAAGGGCCTAATTTTTCTTTCAATTTGGAAGCATCTGTGGACCAAATAAGGAGTTTTGAAGAGTGGGGATGCTCCAAAGTCTTTAATGCTCTTTTGATGGGGGGGGCGGTCGGGTAGCCCAGTGGTTAAAGCATTCGCCCGTCATGCCGAAGACCCAGGTTCGATTCCCGACATGGGTACAATATGTGAAGCCCATTTCTGGTGTCCCCCGCCGTGATATTGCTGGAATATTGCTAAAAGCGGCGTAAAACCAAACTCACTCACTCACTTTTTTGATGGGTGATGCAGGTTTTTTTGCTTACAGAAAGCCATAGCCCACATGGACAAATACAGTCGACAGGAAGTGCTGGACAACGACTGGCTCAAGCGTGAGGTGGGGCAGCGGTTCTTTACACTGCATCTCACACACAGTAGCTGGAGAACTTTATATGATAAATAGCCTTAAGGATTTAGAAACTAACTCTATAAGTTGTTTGAATAGGCAAGTCTTTTTGTATACATTGACACTGCTGGATTTGGGGGTAAGTTTTGTTTACTTATTTTCTTAGTCAGTAGAGAGTGGTATATAGTAAGACACAAGAGGCCAAATGTAAAAAAATGTCCAGATATGATCTTCCCATTTGGCACTTATAACAAACTAAGTGTACAGGTAAGGCTACACTTTTAGAGGTTTTCAGTAATTGTTTGTCTAACAGTGGAAATCTTTGACCGAAGCTGATTTTCTGAGACAATTGAGGATAAAATCAGTACAAACATGCAGTAAAAGCTCCACTCATTTTAGCCACACTGATGTATTTGATCATGTCAGAAGTCAAAATACTCCAAGCCTAAGAAAAACAAAAGGCTAGTTCTCAGCCACTTTTAAAGGTTACATTGCCATTTTAATTTGACCATGTTGACATTTCTAGTGGGCCAAAATTGTTTTCCTTCTTAATTCTTTCCTAATATCACATCTCAACATAAAATGTTTGACAAGATAAGCACATTTGCAATTAAATACAGCATTTAACTTTTCTTTTATTATCTTGTAAACTCAGTCACTGTAACAGACAACATGATAGAATTTGTTCTGCTTTTCACAGATTGTCTTTGAATTTATTATTGTGTGAGCCTGATCTTGTGTCTGTGCCATGTGCAGGTGATGATCCACCAGCGTGAGTCGGAGGAGTTGCACAGTGTCGTGGAGGACCTGGAGAAGTACAACCTCCATGTCATGAGTCAACTGTTTGAGTGTACCGTAGATGATCTGAAAATATCCAGGTCAGTGGCTACACTAAAGGAAACTTGGAAATTATTAGGACAACTAATGTAAATAATGTCTAGGGTAGAACTCATCTCCTTGCAGTGTATTATGCTTATAGTAACCATCAGCATGTAGATTGTGTTGCAAGTATGGGAGAAAATAAGATGGAACAGCATTATACACAGATTTCACTACCAAGATACCTGGAATCCATTAGAGTTGTATGTGCCTCTCATGCTGTGCTTTCTCGACAGGTTCTGTTTAAAAAAACAAACTACAAGTGAGCCCTCTCTGAATTATGATAATCCTTGTTCATGTTGAAAAAATCATAAAATTTGTAAAGTTTGGTTCAAATCTCTCAATGTTCCTTTCTATTGCCCTGAGCACTGGACCCTACAGGCTACTGCAGCTGTAGAGTCATTCAGGAAGATATGTCAGCCCCTTACTCTGCCCATGTCAATTTAAAGAGAATTAGTTATCATTCATGGTAAGGCCAAACCAATACACTTCCTGTTTTCTGGACAATCTGGCAATCTACCCCAAATACTTATCCCAGTACTGTTCAGGACATAACCTTGGTTCATTTGTTCACTTATGTGGTTAATCAGCGAGAATTCTCAAAATAGTATCCACAATGATTATGTTATTATTGAAATTATTCATATCTCTTCTTTGAAATGGGGGTGGTCGGGTAGCCTAGTGGTTACAGTATTCACTCATCATGCAGAAGACCGGGGTTTGATTCCTGACATGGTTACAATGTGTGAAGCCCATTTCTGGTGTCCCCTGCCATGATATTGCTGGAATATTGCTAAAAGCAGCGTAAAACAATACTCACTCACTCATTTCTTTGAAATGAAACTTCAGTCTGCTGAATTGTTTTAGCATAAAGAGGGTGGAAGATTTCAAACAGACGATGGGACTGGGACAAGGGACACTTGAAGAACTATTTTGCACATTTATTCCTGATAGGAGACTTCACATTACTATATAAAAATGTCCCAATGTTTTCAATGATACCAAGGTTAAAACCAAAGCGAACACAAAATTTTGTAAAAAAGTTTTAACTTGTCTGAATTACATCATTGAAGGTCGTATGCATTTAATGTTAGGAACCTTTTCAAATTGTTAAATTTGTGCAAATTGATTTCAGTAATATCTTCAATATCTTAATTTTAACTGAGTATAAATTTGATTGGCAAATAACAGCGCGATGGTAAATTATGAACCATTTCAATAAATTTATTATCCAAGCGCTAAACAGAATAAAACCCATTTTTCGAGGTCATTATGTCAGTTGCAGGAACATAAACGTCAGGGTTAATCTAACATTTCATTTTATAAAATTTGCAGGAAACAATAAATGACTTATAAATATTCACCAATCCTAATTTCAAGTGTTTTTGTGGAATATTTTCGATATACGAAAATCAATTTAAGGGTGTCCTTTGACTACACACCTGTCGAATGAGTTCGCCTGTTGCATTGAGAGCCTTAAGCATGTTAAGTGACCTGTCATGACCAAACTAAGAGTTTGCAATTTTACAATCAATGAAAACAAGAAATACATATTTACCTGCTACTGCTTGCATCCAGGAACTTCTATCTGACCCAGTTTGCTGACAGTGAGAACCTGGAGGAAACTGGGATCCTGGAAATGGATCTTGCCAGTCTCACCTTCCCGGAAGAAGAGGACAAGATAGACAAGAAACCTTGTCCAAGTGAGAGAAGTGAGAGAGGTAACATGTCCTAGTGAGAGAGGTAACATGTCCTTGTGAGAGAGGTGACATGTCCAAGTGAGAGAGGTAACATGTCCTAGTGAGAGAGGTAACATGTCCTAGTGAGAGAGGTGACATGTCCTAGTGAGAGAGGTGACATGTCCAAGTGAGAGAGGTGACATGTCGGAGTGAGAGAGGTAACATGTCCTTGTGAGAGAGGTAACATGTCCTTGTGAGAGAGGTAACATGTCCTAGTGAGAGAGGTAACATGTCCTAGTGAGAGAGGTAACATGTATATGTGAGAGAGGTAACATGTCCTAGTGAGAGAGGTGACATGTCCTAGTGAGAGAGGTAATGTGTCCTAGTGAGAGAGGTAACATGTCCTAGTGAGAGAGGTAACATGTCCTAGTGAGAGAGGTAACGTGTCCTAGTGAGAGAGGTAACATGTATATGTGAGAGAGGTAACATGTCCTAGTGAGAGAGGTGGCATGTCCTAGTGAGAGAGGTGACATGTCCAAGTGAGAGAGGTGAGAGAGGTTACATGTCCTAGTGAGATAGGTAACATGTCCAAGTGAGAGAGGTAACATGTCCTTGTAAGATAGATAATATGTCCAAGTGAGAGAGGTGAAAGAAGTTACATGTCCTAGTGAGATAGGTAACATGCCTAAGTGAGAGAGGTAACATGTACCTGTGAGTGAGGTAACATGTCCTAGTGAGAGAGGAAACATGTCCTAGTGAGAGAGGTTACATGTCCTTGTGAGAGAGGTAACATGTCCAAGTGAGAGAGGTAACATGTCCTAGTGAGAGAGGTAACATGTCCTTGTGAGAGAGGTAACATGTACATGTGAGAGAGGTAACATGTCCTTGTGAGAGAGGTAACATGTACATGTGAGTGAGGTAACATGTCCTAGTGAGAGAGGTAACATGTCCTTGTGAGAGAGGTAACATGTCCTAGTGAAAGATGTAACATGTCCTAGTGAGAGAGGTAACATGTCCTAGTGAGAGAGGTAACATGTCCTTGTGAGAGAGGTAACATGTCCTAGTGAGAGAGGTAACATGTCCTTGTGAGAGAGGTAACATGTACATGTGAGAGAGGTAACATGTCCTAGTGAGAGAGGTAACATGTCCTTGTGAGAGAGGTAACATGTACATGTGAGAGAGGTAACATGTCCTAGTGAGAGAGGTAACATGTCCTTGTGAGTGAGGTAACATGTCCTAGTGAGAGAGGTAACATGTCCTTGTGAGAGAGGTAACATGTACATGTGAGAGAGGTTACATGTCCTAGTTAGAGAGGTTACATGTCCTTGTGAGAGAGGTAACATGTCCTTGTGAGAGAGGTAACATGTCCTTGTAAGATAGATCATATGTCCAAGTGAGAGAGGTGAGAGAAGTTACATGTCCCAGTGAGATAGGTAACATGCCTAAGTGAGAGAGATAACATGTCGGAGTGAGAGAGGTAACATGTCCTAGTGAGAGAGGTAACATGTCCTTGTGAGAGAGGTAACATGTACATGTGAGAGAGGTAACATGTCCTAGTGAAAGAGGTAACATGTCCTAGTGAGAGAGGTAACATGTCCAAGTGAGAGAGGTAACATGTCCTAGTGAGAGAGGTAACATGTCCTAGTGAGATACCCAGTCAAGACTATCTGATCAATAATCATAATGTTTATTGTAATAAAACAGGTCTTACTTCGTGAAATGCATTGAATCACATGAGCACCTTGATTGAAAACATGAAAAGATTTGGAAAATATCCGTTGATAACGTGTCCTTGTGAGAGAGGTGAGAGTTGGCACATGCTTTGCAAATCCTACAATAGACGGAAATCTGCATGGCAGTTTATGAACCGTGTGTCAATTTTGTTATGCGATTTTGATTTGACTATGCCAAGATCAGCAAGTTCGGAAACTGGATTTTCATAGTTAGTTAACTCCCTTGCCTCGAGAAGATGGATATAACCATGATATGGTTGACTAGTGCAAAACATTGACTGACTCCCCCTCCCCATCTGCTCTAGTGCGACCCATGAGCGCCACCCAGAGGGCTGTGGAGCAGAAGGTGTTCACCCTGGCCACATCTGCTGTAGATGAGGTGGATACAGATGATGAGGAAGGTTCAACAGGTGGGTACACAGTGTTAGAAGTTGGCACTAGTCCTATAGTCCTTGCCAAACTGCCCATGAGGACTAGTATAAATTTGCACTTTTTAGGGGATTTGCTATATGCTATCATTAAAAGGACTAGTGGACGGAAATTGTTAGTTTCTATCGCTGGTACACATACTGGGCAGACCTTCATGGCGGGGATTAGTCGGGGATGAGATGTGTCTCATTACTGGATGAGGTATAGCTGACATCCAAAACTTGATAATTTATTATGAGACAGAAGATGTTGGTGATCCAAGACTTCTGCCATTAAACCTTAATTTTCGACAAACCTTCCCAAGAATTTTGTTTGTGAGGATCACAGTGCAGATTCCGTTCCTCCTTGCTTGTCTCTGACAGTAACAGGGAATTGTGGACCAAACCTACTTCGTATTTGTATTTGGATAGTATCTGGCCGATTTAGTTTATCATCATACCCATGTGGTGTAATGTGTATTGTCATATGTGTTGTGACAATGCATGTATTGATAAAAAATAAGTTCCCTACCACTTAACACTCAGCAAGGTCAATTTTACTAAATATAATTGAGTAAATTCTCTTAGTTATTCCATTGGTTTGGGAATACCTTTTCTTAACAACTCACCCTGTAGCAATTTCAGTTTAGAACTGGTTTCCAGACACCTTTGATTGTTGTACAAGGTCGATCAGGGTTGGGGACTTTGTTGGGAGTGTGGATATTTAGTTGGTGTATCAATCACTGGATTGTCTGTTTCAGACTTGATTATTTATAGGCTGCCGTCATAATAATATTCCAGCTTTAAATGCTGTGTTTAAAAACAAAGAAAGAAAACTTAATGCAGCAGTACGTGTCTAGCTGCAAGCAGACAACAGAAGCTACTGTGTCATTCAGCGGCCAATATACCCATGAAGATCTAGGTTAGACTCGGTCTTCAGCAACCCATGCTTGCTGTAAAGGTAAAAGGTGACTCGTCTTGTCGTAAAAGGTAACTAACAGGATTGGTTTGTCAGGCTTTCGTATTTGGTTGATGCATGTCCTTGTATTCCAATTGCATAGATTGATGCTCATGATATCTATCGCTGGATTTTCTTGCCCAGACTTGATTATTTACAGACCGACATTAAATAGCTGGAATATTGATGACTGCTGTGTTAAACAACAAACAGAACAAAAACAAAATCAATGGTGAATATTGTCTTCCAGATGGCAGTGTAGCGTAAAAACCTTGAAACAATCTGATCTGTATTAAAACAGATATAAAACATCATCTAATAAACAGATAATACATACAGTTCCTACACATACTGATATAGTAGGTGGCATTGTTGTAGGTACACTGGCTATGGAGGTCACATCCTAGCTATAAACAAGTATGTGCACTTATACAAGATATATGTTTGTCTTTCTATTACCAAGCACATCCACTAGACAGACAATATACACAGTTATAGTGCCAAAGGTGAGGTATGAGACATGAGAGTGGATTGAATGGCCGTGGATTTTCAGGTGCTAGTGGGCTGCTAAGATGCTAGTTAATTACATGTAAAACTAGCTTTGCCAATTTGGATTAGCAGCTGCCACTGTTGGCCTAGGGCAGCTATTGCTGACCAGAACTGGTAGCATATTATATTATAAAAAATGTACCGTTGCTTGGCAACTTGGCTACCGCTGCCTGGCTCAATTAGTAAAACCAGCTACTGCTGCCGGACCAAATGTCAACTAACGCTGACATGACGACTACCGCTGCTGGACCAATATATGTGTTGTAATTGGCTGCCCAACTTACACTATTTTACAATTCAACGGCTGACAAATTTGGAAAGACACGGTTCCCCCTGAGAACCAGGTAACCCCGGAAAGGTTCACGCTGAAAAGCAGGTAGTAATTTGGAAGCAAGTTATTGAGATATGATGCTATAGGACCAGCGAATGCTTGTAACATGTATATAAGATTTGTGACACAAAAATACACAACAGAAACGTTTTTCTTTCAAATCTCGGATTTATATAATTCATAGTCCAACTAAAAGTGAAACAGCATTGTGATAATTGTTAACTGGTTGGCGAGAAGTTGTCTCTTCCCTCTAATTGGCACATCTAGGTTTTGGAACTTCTTCTTCTTCGAAGGTATCAAAATACCTGGATTGTGATCGCGGTATTATCCAGCTCAACCTGCAGTATATCAATGAATATGTACAGATTTGGAGACAAGATTTGATTTGTTGACGTCGGCCCACTTCCCAGAGACATATTAATGAGCTTTGTGACAAAGTCATCTTTGGCGTTAATAGTGGTCGGACATCCTCTTTGGGAACATTTCCAATGAATGGAAATATGACATTCGGTCTTAATCATGAACTTGTATCCGACAAAAGCTAAGTGCTGACCCATGGAGAAACGGGCAGAAGTCTTACCAAAAGATTATGTCCTGTCACGCAATTATATATATTTTAAAAGTTTTCACACCGTACAGTGTATGTGCATATATTTCAACAATTAGTTGTGTCTATCTATTTTGTGAGATGTTCACCAATTAGTTGTCAAATCCTTATTCAAATATTGTCTCACCAATCACCACACTCAAATGAATTGGTACCTGCAACAATAGCTGCTGGACAACTTGGAAGACCCCCAATGAACCACCAGGCAGACTGGGCACTGGCCCCATTGTTGGAATTGCGCAGCACATCAATCATGGGGACAACTTCACCTGACATATTTTGTCGTCTGTTTTAGGCCATTTTCCTTTTTCAAATTTAATTTGATCAAACATTTGTTATAATGTATGTCCTAAAGTATTAAAATCTGCAAATTTGCAAAGTTGACTTTACATGCCCTTTAAAGCAGTGCAGTGTGCTGACGTACTTACAGATAAATACTGCTACTATTTTCCTAGAATATTGGGAATACAGTTAATGGATAGAATATAAACTACTAACCTTGGAAAATGATCCAAAGAGCCAAAAGATCCAGAGATCATATCCTTGAGATTCACAATGGTGAGCAGAATAAAAAAATGTGTGTATCCTTCAATGAATATGTACTTAACCGCAAAAGGAAACCCGATTTCATCTGACAAAAAAACATAAGTGCAAACGCAACCTCACAAAAGTCTGTGGGAGCGGTTGCGAACATTCCTTGTGCAAATCAAGATGCACGTGCAGTAGAAGATAGCTATGGGTTTAAAAGCTACCTCATTAGATTCATACAGTGGCAATGGTGAGATTAACTGCCAATGAGAGACAACAGGCTGTTGGAAGATTGAAAGCTGATCAGCTTGCATCGGTTGTCGCAAATCCTATGCGCCACGGAAACAGCTCGGCAGATGATCCGCACCCACCAGCGACCAATCAGTTCCGACACTGCACCATCAACAGCAACATCTTTTGTTGGTAGTTCTGCCCAAGTGCCCATCCTCACAGATTGTATCCCAATTGCGTGGATCGATGCTCATGATGTCAATCACTGGATTGTCTGGTCCAGACTCGATTATTTACAGACCACCATCATATAGCTGGAATATTGCTGAGTGCGGCGTTAAACAACAAAGAAAGAAACAAACAAACAAACAGACCGACATGGTCAGGTATGACTTGGATGGGCAATCCAGTATCAACATTGGCAACATCAGCATTGAGGAACGTCATCTTCTCTGATGAAAGTCATTATTGTGTGTTGGCGCAGGATGGTAGGGAAAGGATCTAAAGAACTGGACCTTTGGTCTTCCAAAATATTGGTCCAGGCAGGGGTATTGGTGTCACATAGCAGCGCTATATTGACCAAGTCCTCAGACCTTACGTCTTTCCCTTTTTCGCCCGTCACAAACGCCACATATTCAAGCAAGACGACGCTCGTCCCCCATAAAAGTTGAGTCAACAGAGACATCCTACAGCAGCATAACATCACCATGCCCTCAGTCTGGATTTGAATCCAATAGAACACTTGTGGGACACGATCCAAAGACGTCTGAATGACCTCCAACTAAGGCCAACAACTGCAGCGGAATTGAGTGAATGTTTATATACTTATAGATATTGCGTTTCTTTTGCGGTTGAGTGTATGTAAAGTGACTCCAAGACATTCTGAGGGGTCCGTCGCTGTATTGCAGATATAATGCCGTTGTGACAATAAATTTTAACTCACTCACTCTGAAGGGTCCAGTGTACAGCTCAGCTGAGTACCCAAGTTGGCTGGAAAGACAAAAGAATTTGAGGGGGAAGTGCTTGGCCTATTGTGATAGTGCACAGGGTGTGAATATTACAAAATAATCTTGCAAAAGCATGCTTAGTGAAAGGGTTGTTACTTTTGTGAAAATTTGAGATAGGCTAAGCAATATAATAAAACAACTAAAACTATGACTTACACAAGCGCAGACACTTATTTCGATAAAACTAAAAATCTGTTACTGCTACAGTGCGGTCATCTGATGCTCACGCTGGCAAAGGTATGGAAGTATAAAAAAATCGTCAAACATGGTGCAACAATATATTGATACAAAATGAGTTGTGTCCATTTACCAGTAAATATACCTTGTTTCAGGGCACTGTGGTACTGTTGAATCGTATGCTATTCAGAGCACCAAGGTACTGTTGAATCATACCCTATACAGGGAACTGAGGTACTGTTGAATCATATGCTATACAGGGCAAAGAGGTACTGTTGTATCAGATCCTATACCGGTCAGTGAGGTACTGTTGATTCATACGCTATACTGGTCAGTGAGGTACTGTTGTATCAGATCCTATACTGGTCAGTGAGGTACTGTTGATTCATACGCTATACTGGTCGGTGAGGTACTGTTGAATCATATGCTATACTGGTCAGTGAGGTACTGTTGAATCATATGCTATACTGGTCAGTGAGGTACTGTTGTATCAGATCCTATACTGGTCAGTGAGGTACTGTTGTATCAGATCCTATACTGGTCAGTGAGGTACTGTTGATTCATACACTATACTGGTCAGTGAGGTACTGTTGAATCATACACTATACTGGTCAGTGAGGTACTGTTGAATCATACACTATACTGGTCGGTGAGGTACTGTTGATTCATACACTATACTGGTCAGTGAGGTACTGTTGAATCATACACTATACTGGTCAGTGAGGTACTGTTGATTCATACGCTATACTGGTCGGTGAGGTACTGTTGAATCATATGCTATACTGGTCAGTGAGGTACTGTTGTATCATATCCTATACTGGTCAGTGAGGTACTGTTGAATCTTATGCTATACTGGTCGGTGAGGTACTGTTGATTCATACGCTATACTGGTCAGTGAGGTACTGTTGATTCATACGCTATACTGGTCGGTGAGGTACTGTTGAATCATATGCTATACTGGTCAGTGAGGTACTGTTGTATCAGATCCTATACTGGTCAGTGAGGTACTGTTGAATCTTATGCTATACTGGTCAGTGAGGTACTGTTGAATCTTATGCTATACTGGTCGGTGAGGTACTGTTGAATCTTATGCTATACTGGTCAGTGAGGTACTGTTGAATCTTATGCTATACTGGTCAGTGAGGTACTGTTGTATCATATGCTATACTGGTCAGTGAGGTACTGTTGATTCATACGCTATACTGGTCGGTGAGGTACTGTTGAATCATATGCTATACTGGTCAGTGAGGTACTGTTGAATCATATGCAATACTGGTCAGTGAGGTACTGTTGAATCTTATGCTATACTGGTCAGTGAGGTACTGTTGATTCATACACTATACTGGTCGGTGAGGTACTGTTGAATCATATGCTATACTGGTCAGTGAGGTACTGTTGATTCATACACTATACTGGTCAGTGAGGTACTGTTGAATCTTATGCTATACTGGTCAGTGAGGTACTGTTGATTCATACACTATACTGGTCGGTGAGGTACTGTTGAATCATATGCTATACTGGTCAGTGAGGTACTGTTGATTCATACGCTATACTGGTCAGTGAGGTACTGTTGAATCTTATGCTATACTGGTCAGTGAGGTACTGTTGAATCATATGCTATACTGGTCGGTGAGGTACTGTTGAATCATATGCTATACTGGTCAGTGAGGTACTGTTGATTCATACGCTATACTGGTCAGTGAGGTACTGTTGAATCTTATGCTATACTGGTCAGTGAGGTACTGTTGAATCATATGCTATACTGGTCGGTGAGGTACTGTTGAATCATATGCTATACTGGTCAGTGAGGTACTGTTGATTCATACGCTATACTGGTCGGTGAGGTACTGTTGAATCATATGCTATACTGGTCAGTGAGGTACTGTTGTATCATATGCTATACTGGTCAGTGAGGTACTGTTGATTCATACGCTATACTGGTCGGTGAGGTACTGTTGAATCATATGCTATACTGGTCGGTGAGGTACTGTTGAATCATATGCTATACTGGTCAGTGAGGTACTGTTGATTCATACGCTATACTGGTCGGTGAGGTACTGTTGAATCATATGCAATACTGGTCAGTGAGGTACTGTTGTATCATATGCTATACTGGTCGGTGAGGTACTGTTGAATCATATGCTATATAGGCCACTGTGGTACTGTTGAATCATACACAATACAGGCCACTGTGGTACTGTTGAATCATTGTTTAGGTGTCATAGTTTGATGAGGTACAAGTCTTCTGACGTGCTGCTGACATAATGCTGAAAATATACTGTTGACCTATAATTTGAAGACTGTTGACAGTTTGCGGAGATGCCGCTGACATACTGCTGAGATGAGATAATACCAGACCTTTCACTCTGATGGATAATGAACACCATATTACTTTATGTAAAGATCTTCTACTGACTGTTTCAGATGGAGCCTCCACACACACAAGTCAGGGCAGTGAGCTTTTTGAGAACCTCTTCTATGAAGAGGAAGATTTTACTGTAAGTTATTCTCTGGAGATGATGATATATTCACAGGCACAGGTATTTACAGTTTGCTGTGCAGAGTTGTATCCCTTAGCCGTCCCAGGAGCCTATGATCATGGGTTTGAAATCTGAGATTCACCTTGGGTATGATTCTTGGAGGCTTCAGCATCATGCTTGTAGTTTTGGGGTTCACTCTGCTTTAGCGAGTGGTAAACTTCTGAGACCTGCAACTTTGGGCTTTTCTCCCACATTAAACTTATGTGCTGTCATATGACTGGAATAGTTTTAACCAACTGTGCCACTTAACCAAACTCACTCACATTTTCTTTTGCCATTGGGTATATTATTCTGCTATTGTCATCCATGATGCCAGTCTACAGACCACTGTAAGCTGCTTCCTGTTTGTTCACCCACCCTCCTCCTGGGATGGGGCAGTCGGGTTGTCTTGTGGTTAAAGCGTTCCCTATTCACGTTGAAGACCCGGGTTCGATTCCTGACATGGGTACAATGTGTGAAGCCCATTTCTAGTGTCCCCTGCTGTGATATTGCTGGAATATTGCTAAAACCAGCGTGAAACCATCCTCACTGACTCCTCTTGTGGTTAAACTGTTGCTCATCATGCTGATGGCCCTGGTTCAGTTCCCCACATGGGTAGGATGTGTGAAACTTACTTCTGGTGTCCCCTGCCTTGAAACTGCTGGAATATTGCTAAAGCATCACAAAACCTAACTCACTCACCCCGCCTTCATCCTGCAGGACTATCTGCAGCTCGGCCCGCTGGAGCTGAAGCTGTTGAACATCACTGGCACCCAGATGCCCATCCACAAGCCGTACCAGCCCACAGACGAGGAGCTGCAGGCACTCAAGTGTAATCCCGAGGAATGGCCCGTCACACAGCCCATGCTCAAGAGTGCCATCACTCACACAGCATAGCCCTAGCTGTGGGGCATGCTGGGTGGGGCACGGGAGAGGATCATGGGTGGGTTATTGTATGATGTCCTAGGGTAAGGGACAGGGTAATGTGTGTGCAGTAATGAGATCAGCTTGGTGATATTTCATCTCATGTCACATGGCTTCTGTTTATGGTCTTACAGCTCATGTTTTCTAAAGCCCTCACAATGGGATAACAGTGCCACATGTTTTGTAAGGTATGAATGTAAACTGTAACATTCTTCAAGACTTTTTTGCCATAATCTCTGTCAGGCTATTTTTTTGTTTCATCCAAAAGTGGAGCAATTTTTAGTTTTGCTAGAACACACTGTCAAAAGCATCTCAGCCAAATACCCAAATATTGTTCAGCTACTATCATAGAAATATAATACTCACCTTAAAACTACTGTGAATTATGAATATGAATTTGATTCACCAAACAATCTGAGGAGGTAGTACTCAGATATCATGGGAAGTGTGTGGACTGACACTGAAAATCAAACTTGACCAATTATCGGTAATAATGTGTTGCCAGTTATTATCTTTATGTACCTATATATATGTTTACACTGAGATATTTATGTACTTTTCTTCCCTTCCATGTGTATACTTTTTTTGCGTTGCTCAAACCTAAATGACACACTAATTACACACTTGCCAGTAACTTGTATTTCATTCTTGTGTAAATTATTCTTATACTAGGATAATGATATGTCTTCCCAAATTGTTGTTGTTAAGAATTTTATTATACCCGCCAGTTTTCATCTTCTGATGGATTGATCAGTGTGATACACCCAACTAGTATGTGTCTGTTTTATTCAGTTGTTTCCATGAAACTCTAAATTTAGTGAAAAGAAATTTTGAAATGCAACTGTGATCAACTAGTGGTATAGTGTCTGCACAGTTAGTATGTAAGTCACATGTAGTCCATATAATGATTATAATTACATTTCCGTTATCAATGTATAAGATACATTTGACTTTTGAATGTATGCTCTCCAAAATGAAAATATTCTGTTTAGGTGATGAAAAAAATATGACAAAATAAATTCTTACTCTGACATTAAACCATTTACTGAGTAAAATTGTCTCATAACTAGAATACATTAAATGTTTGACATTTGAAACAGTAACAAATGTTTTTATATTTCAATGGTGTAAGAGGCTCAGATTTGTAGACTAGACAATCTAAGAACTTAAACATGTTAAAGACTGACTGCAGATCTACATGTGTACTGTTCCTGGCAGTTACATTATGATTCATCTGAACCTGATGATTCTGTACTGTTTACTATTATGTTGTATTATTGCTATCATTATGCAAAGTCAGAATTACTTCTATATCAGTACGTGTGTCTGTTAATTAAAAGTCATTGGTGTGGAGGAGAGATGGTATTTTATGGATTGTTGAATAAATGTGAATAAATGTGTTAGATAGATGCTTTGTTTTCTGTTAATGTCATTTACTATGTATCATCAAGAGTTTACTCAAATCACTATCATAAAGAGTTTACTCAAATCACTATCGGAAAGAGTTATCTCAAATCACTATCTATCATGAAGAATTTACTCAAATCACTATCATGAACAGTTTGCTCAAATCACTATCTATCATGAAGATTTACACAAATTACTATCATAAAGAGTTTTCTCGAATCACTAGCTTTCATGAAGAATTTACTCAAATCACTATCATGAAGAGTTTACTCAAATCACTATCATGAAGAGGTAACTCAAATCACTATCATGAAGTGTTTACTCAAATCACTATCATGAAGAGGTAACTCAAATCACTATTATGAAGAGTTTACTCAAATCACTATCATGAAGAGTTTACTCAAATCACTAGCATGAAGAGTTTACTCAAATCACTATCGTAAAGAGTTTTCTCAAACCATGAGCATGAAGAGTTTACTCAGATCACTAGCATAAAGAGTTAACTCAAATCACTAGCATGAAGAGTTTACTCAAATCACTAGCATGAAGAGTTTACTCAAATCACTAGCATTAAGAGTTTACACAAATCACTAGCTATCATGAAGAGTTTACACAAATCACTAGCATGAAGAGTTTACTCAAATCACTATCGTAAAGAGTTTTCTCAAATCATGAGCACGAAGTGTTTACTCAGATCACTAGCATTAAGAGTTAACTCAAATTACTAGCATGAAGAGTTTACACAAATCACTAGCATGAAGAGTTCACTCAAATCACTAGCATTAAGAGTTTACACAAATCACTAGCTATCATGAAGAGTTTACACAAATCTGTGACCCTCCTGCTGTGGAGGTCATACATCCACGTCTTCTCATCTGACACTGCACTGTGTCCCTCCTGCAGATGAGAGGACGTGGATGTATGACATCCACAGCAGCAGGGACACAGTGCAGTGTCAGATGAGAGGACGTGGATGTATGACCTCCACAGCAAGAGGGACACAGTGCAGTGTCAGATGAAGGGTCGTGGATGTATGACCCCCACAGCAGGAGGGACACAGTGCAGTGTCAGATGAAGGGTCGTGGATGTATAGACTCCACAGCAGGAGGGACACAGTGCAGTGCCAGATGAGAGGACGCTGAGTTTAGTGCCGCGCTCAGCAAGATTCCAGCTAATAGTATACTGAACAACAAAAGTGCCTGTAACATTGAATAAGATTTAATGCAAAGTTATGTTTTTTACCAAATCTGAAACAATTTCGGTTTGTAACAGATAAAAGACTCCTGTAAGTGTTCTAATGGTTTAATTTGCCATACTGACTTCAGAAAATGCGTGATTTCATAAAAAAATCATGAACATGCCAAAATGTCAATTTACAAGTCAATAGCGTGTGTGTCCACCTCTGGTTGCCATGCAAGCAACACATCTTCGTCTCAAGGAATGGACCAGGCGTCGCACAAAGTCCTGTGGGATATCTGTCCATATCTGCTGGAGCATGTTTCGAAGTTACTGGAGTTTCTGTGGAACTAGTGGTTGACGTCGAAGACGCCGATCCATCTCATCAGCATGGCTCGATTGGTGAGAGATCAGGGGAGCGAGCCGGCCAGGGGATGACATTTACGTTGTTTTGTTGAAGAGAATCCTGAACAAGACGAGCAATATGAGGCCGAGCGTTGTCATGTTGAAAAGTAATGCCTGGGCCATTACGACGCAAAGACGGTAGAACAACAGGGCCGATGATCTCATCGCGGTAGCGCTGTCCATTGAGATTTCCCTCTACCACTGTCAAACGGGTCCTCTGCCCGCTGTAATCCCACCCCATACCATAACGCTGCCGCCCCCGAACCGATCTTCTTCCATGACACAACGATTGACGTAACGTTCACTTCGACGTCGGTACACTCGAATCCGTCCATTGCTGTGGCTGAGGTGAAAACGAGACTCGTCAGTAAATAGAACTTGTCCCCACTGCATGGCCGTCCAGCGTAGACGTTGTCTGCACCACTGTAGACGTGCGTGACGGTGGTTTCCTTTCAAAATGGGACGTCTGGCGGGTCTTCTGGCGACAATCCCTGCACATCTGAGGCTACGACGTACGGTTTGTGAACATATTCGTCGAAGGCCAGGGAGCTTTCTTGCAGTCACTGTTGCTGGCTGGAATCGATTTCGTAGGTGTGTTGTTCGAATCCAGATGTCTTATTGATTATTGGTTACGCGTGGCCTGCTACTCCGAGGATGGTCTCTGACTGCATTCGTCTGTTGCCAACGTTGCCATAAATACCTAATGGTGTTTCTGTGGACGTTTAATTGTCTCGCAACATCTCGTTGACTCGATCCTGCTTCAAGCATACCAATGGCTCGCAGACGCTCATTTTCGGACAGGCGTGGCATTTCGTAATGTTGTATAATTGCGTAATCTTGTTGTTTTTCTCAGTGGTTGTTGTCAGCACGATGCTAAACACTGCATATGTAATCCTGTTAACGCACATGTATTTATGCCCATTCTTGGGTAGTGAAATGCATGGGGCTTGCATAAAAGTCAACTTTTGCATGGAATGCATGCTTTTCTGTAGCAGTTGCGTTTTTGTGACTTGATTCCATACATGTACTACAATATTGAAAACCAAACTTTACTTGTTTGAAAAATACACTTAAATATTGGTGTCACAGGAACTTTTGTTGTTGAGTATACATAGATGTCAGTGATTGGCATCATGACCAATTGGTATACGATGACATGCATCAACCAAGTCAGCTGGCCGGACCACTCGATCCCGTTAGTAGCCTCTTACAACAAGCATGGGTTGTTGAAGACCAAATCGAACCTGGATCTTCACGGGTCAGTTATTGATATAAGCCCTGAGCATTTGGCAAGGCACATATAGTCTGTTTTCAGAGGTGGGTTATTGTACAACTATGAAAATGTAGAAAAACTTCACATATTTAGTTGGTTGGTTGGTTTGTTGTTTTATGCCGCACTCAGCAATATTCAAGCTATATGACGGCGGTCTGTAAATAATCGAGTCTGGACCAGACAATCCAGTGATTAATATCATGAGCATCGATCGACTCAATTGGGATCGATGACATGCATCAACCAAGTCAGCGAGCCTGACCACCCGATCCCGTTAGTCGCCTCTTACGACAAGTATAGTCGCCTTTTACGGCAAGCATGTATATGTGACAATACACATTTAGTGTAAGTTGGATGTAAATGTAACATCACACATTTAGTGTAAGTTGGATATGTATATGTGACATCACACATTAAGTGTAAGTTGGATGTATATGTGACATCACACATTTAGTGTAAGTTGGATGTAAATGTGACACCACACATTTAGTGTAAGTTGGATGTATATGTGACACAACACATTTAGTGTAAGTTGGATGTATATGTGACATCACACATTTAGTATAAGTTGGATGTATATGTGACATCACACATTTAGTATAAGTTGGATGTATATGTGTCATCACACGTTAAGTGTAAGTTTGGTGTATCTTTGATAACACACATTTAGTGCAAGTTGGATGTATATGTGACATCACACATTTAGTGTAAGTTGGATGTATATTTGACATCAAACATTTAGTGTAAGTTGGATGTATATTTGACATCACACATTTAGTGTAAGTTGGGAGTATATGTGACGTCACACATTTAGTGTAAGTTGGGTGTATATCTGACATCAAACATTTAGTGTAAGTTGGATGTATATGTGACATCAAACATTTAGTGTAAGTTGGATGTATATTTGACATCACACATTTAGTGTAAGTTGGGAGTATATGTGACGTCACACATTTAGTGTAAGTTGGGTGAATATCTCCCATCACACATTTAGTGTAAGTTGGATGTATATGTGACATCAATTATTTAGTGTAAGTTGGATGTATATGTGACATCACACATTAAGTGTAAGGTGGGTGTATATGTGACACCACACATTTATTGTATGCTGGACGTAACTGTCACATCATACATTCATTTTAAGTTGGATGTATATGTGACATCACACATTAAGTGTAAGTTGGATATCTATATGTGACATCACACATTTAGTGTAGGTTGGATGTAAATGTGACATCACACATTTATTGTTAGTTGGGTGTATATATGACATCACATATTTAGTGTAAGTTGGATGTATATGTGATATCACACATTTAGTGTAAGTTGGGTGTATATGTGACATCACACATTTAGTATAAGTTAGGTAAATATGTGACAGTGCACACGTTTAGCGTTAGTTGGATGTAACTGTGACATCATACATTTAGTGTAAGATGGGTGTATATGTGACATCACACATTTAGTGTTAGTTGGATGTAACTGTGACATCCTACATTTATTGTAAGTTGGATATCTACATGTGACATCACACATTTAGTGTTAGTTGGATGTAAATGTGACATCAGACATTAAGTGTAAGTTGGGTGTATATGTGACATCACACATTTAGTGTTAGTTGGATGTATATTTGACATCACACATTTAGTGTAAGTTGGGAGTATATGTGACGTCACACATTAAGTGTAAGTTGGGTGTATATGTGACATCACACATTAAGTGTAAGTTGGATGTATATGTGACATCACACATTTAGTGTAAGTTGGATGAATATGTGACATCACACATTTAGTGCAAGTTGGATGTATATGTGACATCACACATTTAGTGTAAGTTTGGTGTATCTTTGACATCACACATTTAGTGTAAGTTGGATATGTATATGTGACATCACACATTTAGTGTAAGTTGGATGTATATGTGACATCACACATTTAGTGTAAGTTGGGTGTATATGTGACATCAGACATTAAGTGTAAGTTGGATGTATATGTGACATCACACATTTAGTGTAAGTTGGGTGTATATGTGACATCACACATTTAGTGTTAGTTGGATGTATATGTGACATCACACATTTAGTGTAAGTTGGGTGTATATGTGACATCACACATTTAGTGTAAGTTGGATGTATATGTGACATCACACATTTAGTGTAAGTTGGATGTATATGTGACATCACACATTTAGTGTAAGTTGGATGTATATGTGACATCACACATTTAGTGTAAGTTGGGTGTATATGTGACATCACACATTTAGTGTAAGTTGGATGTATATGTGACATCACACATTTAGTGTAAGTTGGATGTATATGTGACATCACACATTTAGTGCAAGTTGGATGTATATGTGACATCACACATTTAGTGTAAGTTGGATGTATATGTGACATCACACATTTAGTGTAAGTTGGGTGTATATGTGACATCACACATTTAGTGTTAGTTGGATGTATATGTGACATCACACATTTAGTGTAAGTTGGGTGTATATGTGACATCACACATTTAGTGTAAGTTGGGTGTATATGTGACATCAGACATTAAGTGTAAGTTGGATATGTATATGTGACATCACACATTAAGTGTAAGTTGGGTGTATATGTGACATCACACATTTAGTGTAAGTTGGGTGTATATGTGACATCACACATTTAGTGTAAGTTGGATATGTATATGTGACATCACACATTTAGTGTAAGTTGGATGTATATGTGACATCACACATTTAGTGTTAGTTGGATGTATATGTGACATCACACATTTAGTGTTAGTTGGATGTATATGTGACATCACACATTTAGTGTTAGTTGGATGTATATGTGACATCACACATTTAGTTAAGTTGGATGTATATGTGACATCACACATTTAGTGTAAGTTTGATGTATATGTGACATCACACATTTAGTGTAAGTTGGATGTATATGTGACATCACACATTTAGTGTAAGTTGGATGTATATGTGACATCACACATTTAGTGTTAGTTGGATGTATATGTGACATCACACATTTAGTGTTAGTTGGATGTATATGTGACATCACACATTTAGTGTTAGTTGGATGTATATGTGACATCACACATTTAGTGTAAGTTGGATGTATATGTGACATCACACATTTAGTGTAAGTTGGATGTATATGTGACATCACACATTTAGTGTAAGTTGGATGTATATGTGACATCACACATTTAGTGTAAGTTGGATGTATATGTGACATCACACATTTAGTGTTAGTTGGATGTATATGTGACATCACACATTTAGTGTAAGTTGGATGTATATGTGACATCACACATTAAGTGTAAGTTGGGTGTATATTTGACATCACACATTTAGTGTAAGTTGGGAGTATATGTGACAACACACATTTAGTGTAAGTTGGATGTATATGTGACATCACACATTAAGTGTAAGTTGGGTGTATATGTGACATCAAACATTTAGTGTAAGTTGGATGTATATGTGACATCACACATTTAGTGTAAGTTGGGTGTATATGTGACATCACACATTTAGTGTAAGTTGGATGTATATGTGACATCAAACATTTAGTGTAAGTTGGATGTATATGTGACATCACACATTTAGTGTAAGTTGGGTGTATATGTGACATCACACATTTAGTGTAAGTTGGATGTATATGTGACATCACACATTTAGTGTAAGTTGGGTAAATATGTGACAGAGCAGACGTTTAGTGTAAGTTGGATGTATATGTGAGATTACGTATTTAGTGTAAGTTGGGTGTATATGTGACATCACACATTTAGTGTAAGTTGGGAGTATATGTGACAACACACATTTAGTGTAAGTTGGATGTATATGTGACATCACACATTAAGTGTAAGTTGGGTGTATATGTGACATCAAACATTTAGTGTAAGTTGGATGTATATGTGACATCACACATTTAGTGTAAGTTGGGTGTATATGTGACATCACACATTTAGTGTAAGTTGGATGTATATGTGACATCAAACATTTAGTGTAAGTTGGATGTATATGTGACATCACACATTTAGTGTAAGTTGGGTGTATATGTGACATCACACATTTAGTGTAAGTTGGATGTATATGTGACATCACACATTTAGTGTAAGTTGGGTAAATATGTGACAGAGCAGACGTTTAGTGTAAGTTGGATGTATATGTGAGATTACGTATTTAGTGTAAGTTGGGTGTATATGTGACATTGCGTGAAGGTATCAAAGCTTATCGACGGGGAATGCTCACTAAAGGAGTCCTGTCCACCAAGAAAATGCTCCTGTTCACAAATCGGTGGTTGCCATGTCAGCGGTCCATGAGTGTGGCTTCGAACTCATTGACCATCCCCCTTATTCACCCGATTTGGCCCCGTCAGTCTTCCACCCGTTTCCCAAAATTAAAAAGGAACCAGCCGGTCGCCATTTTCCTAGTAACGATGACGTCATTTCCTCTGTGAATGACTTTTTTAGGGTGGCTGACGAAAATTCCTTCTTGACCGGCATCCAGGCCTTGCAGCATCGCTGGCAAAAGTGTGTAAACCTGGAAGGGGACTACGTGGAGAAATAAATAAAAACCATCGACTTGGTACGGGTATTTCACAGTTAGGCTTAGAACTTTTCAGCCAGCCCTCGTAGATCCACATATCCGCTTGTTGTTTCAGGATAAGTAGCCAGACATTGTACATGAATATGAACGTACAAGCTGATTGGTTCGAAATCTTCCATAGACTTGTGAACAACAGCATTTGATAGGTCTTTACCTATGCATTTGTATTGGAAGTTTTTTTTATCAATTTATCCCATAGGCGGATTTTGATATTTTGGACCCCTCCCTTTTAAACATGCTGGACCCGCATTCATATCGTTACTAGAACCTTCAGGAAAGCTTAACCTTTCTTACTTTGTCATGTACAAGCTTTGTTCTACAATCATTCAATCTTCCTAATATAATCACTGACCCTTCTCCAGCAGACGTCGGATATTTACCTTTAATTCCCTCCAAATGTCATGTATTGTCATGCATCGTCATGTCCTATTTGGATTAATGATTTTCAGACACGACTATACGCTCCTTCCAATTTTAGATGAAAACTGAGAAACAATAAGAACTGTTCGTCAATGTTGATCTTTAATTGCTGTAAAAAGTCAGATGCATTGAATCAGCTTGTATGTGAAATAAACTAATTATTAAACAGTTTTCACGTTGTTCTGTTCAGACACAACGCTATTTACATTCTACACAAAAGATTTCCGCTCAATTCTGCCTTAAGCCATGGTCGACCATCTCTCAGATCATATATTTACTAACTAGCACTTTTCTTTGAAAGTACGTGAAGATGTATCTACGCGCGTGGGCGAGGTCGCGGCTTGCGTGGGCAGTCGTCGACTACTAGAAGTCATTATTACCTGCCACACACAGGTGACAATTGTCGGCGTGTTCAGACAACTCCAGACAGCACAGCCCTGCCGTAGAGCCCCCAAGCCAGACAGCCAGCAACCTTGCTTCAAAACTCTACGCACATCCTGTGTCAATTGTTACCGGGTGCGGAGATTAGACTTCTTGTGCGGCTTCTTCTATCGTCGCTTGGGATGAAAATCCAGCTATAAAATGCGCCAATTCTGTCACTCGTCCCTATTCTAAGACGCCCTAGGTGGACCTCTATCTTCATGAAGTGTTGGGACAAAGACATACTAGATAAGGTGAGTAAAATATCAGCGCAAGAGATGTCAGAAAACAAAATGTTTATGTTTATTCAACGTTTTATTTTCACCAATAGAGGCCTCACGCTATAGTACTTCCTATTGTTAGTGGGTACAGCTCACATGGACATACATGTATCAGATTCAAGTTAACAATAAATTACTGGTACAACTAGGCGATACAAAGACGTACCACGGCTTTGTACAATGAAAATATTTAGTATAACTTTTTATTATTTTGTATAATATGTATACTAATAACTTTAAATGAAAACACACGATCAACTTTCTAACACTCTGCTCTTATTATCTTTTGGTAGAAGAAGCTGTTAATGATGAAAATCCTAGGAATACATCCACATATCTACGTATATATTTTAAAGTCAGTTGCTTATTTGGTTTGTATTTGTTATGTAGGAAATATTTAATTAATGTATAAGAAACAATTCATCTTCCCATTTCCTAAATTTAACTGCCCACGGTGATATTGAAATAACTTAAACAGTCGTGATGGCGATCCGCGTATTGGGCCGAGTTCTGGCCACAGGAACATAGTTTCAGGGTGACGCAGGTCGTGTTGGATCGAGTTCTGGCCACAGGAACATTGTTTCAGGGTGACACAGGTCGTATTGGACCGAGTTCTGGCCACAGGAACATTGTTTCAGGGTGACGCAGGTCGTATTGGACCGAGTTCTGGCCACAGGAACATTGTTTCAGGGTGACGCAGGTCGTATTGGACCGAGTTCTGGCCACAGGAACATTGTTTCAGGGTGACGCAGGTCGTATTGGACCGAGTTCTGGCCACAGGAACATTGTTTCAGGGTGACACAGGTCGTATTGGACCGAGTTCTGGCCACAGGAACATTGTTTCAGGGTGACGCAGGTCGTATTGGACCGAGTTCTGGCCACAGGAACATAGTTTCAGGGTGACGCAGGTCGTATTGGACCGAGTTCTGGCCACAGGAACATTGTTTCAGGGTGACACAGGTCGTATTGGACCGAGTTCTGGCCACAGGAACATTGTTTCAGGGTGACGCAGGTCGTATTGGACCGAGTTCTGGCCACAGGAACATTGTTTCAGGGTGACGCAGGTCGTATTGGACCGAGTTCTGGCCACAGGAACATTGTTTCAGGGTGACGCAGGTCGTATTGGACCGAGTTCTGGCCACAGGAACATAGTTCAAGGGTGACGCAGGTCGTATTGGGCCGAGTTCTGGCCAGAGGAACATTGTTTCAGGGTGACGCAGGTCGGAGAAATATCCTATGTAGGGTGTATGTATTTCTGCGGTTTTGAAGCAACTGACAGGCGAAAGTGATTTCGTTTTCACTTAGCGTCGTAATTTCGTACATGAACGAAAACCAGTTGTGTTTCTATGTGTTTATTCTTTTTCTGACGTGAGCGTACATGTAGGTAGTTGCACAAATTAATTACAAGAATGTCAGAAAACAGCGAAAATAGAAAAGCTTATTGTTATAACCCTGCAAATGACTCAAAGTACTGGCAGTTTGTGGTATTTCCAAGTTAGTTTAAAAAAACCTGTCTCTACTCAATATATATCTTACAATAATGAGCGAATGTTCAATTAAACCAATGTGAACAAACGCTATACATGTATGTGGTTCAATTCTGATAGGCAATGTGATCAATCAGAGAAAATCAGGTCTACAAAACTGAAAATATCATGCAGAAGGTTATAGAAGCGACGGCGCCTACTATCTATGTAAAACCTAATTAGTCACCAGCTTGAGCTTGACACGCCTCATTATCGCCAAGTGTCAGGGAGAAGTTGGCACTGATCATCTGATAATGAGCGACTAGACCGCAAGTGTGCATGTAATGAGTTCTTATGTATTATAAGCCTTTATTATCAACGCCATGTGTCTCTTATCGCGAACCTTTGCAAATTTAATTAATAAAAGAAATTTGATGCGCCAATTTGTGTAATATTGAACACCTATCCCCATTTTTTCAAATAAACCAGCAATTCTACAATGAATTCAAATTTAGAACATGAGGATACATTGTGACAAATGAGGTTCAATAAACTTTATTTTTATCCTCTTAAGGCAAATTAAATATCGTCGAACATATTTAAAGTCATGTTTATGAATTATAAGCTGATGAAGTCTATTTTGTTTCACTACCTTCTATCAGGGCAGTCAAAGTAGCCTTGTCACGTGACCGCTGTTCGTCACCGTGAGCAGATGCTAGAAATGAACAGAGAGCGCCGTTAAAACAATTCAGAAATAAGTTCAATCTTTTAAAACAATTCACAAATAAGTTCATATTTTATAGTTACGTTTATCTGTTTAAGATACAGATGTGATGTATTTTAACACAGCCATAGGTTAGATTAGAACCAAAGAAAAACGAGAGGCTACTTTTTCTCTTTGGTAATGTCCGAATCACTAGAAGACCACGAAGTACATCATCATGTAATACATAATGTTAAGCTGTGTTCCCAGACACTGGCACATGTTCGTGGCAACGGCCGTGGAGAAGAAATGTGCGTATTTAATGAAGCTGAAGAGGTCGTTCTCGTGTGACGTACTAGACGTGTACAAGATGTGTACTAGATGTGTACCTTTCTGTGTACTGAAATATACCCTTACCAAAATCGGAATACATAAAAGAACCCCAGTTTGGCAATATACATTGGAGCTAGGTCGAGTCTATTACATAATAAATGAGCAGTAGTAGTTCTAGTAGAAGTCGTAGTAGCATCAGCAGTAGCAGTAGTCGCAACATCAGTAGTAGTAGCAGTAGTAGTAGTTAGATGTAGCATCAGCGGCATTAGAAGTAGTAGTAGTAGAAGTAGTAGTAGGAGTAGTAGTACTAGTAGTAGAAGTAGTAGGAGTAGTAGTACTAATAGCAGTAGTTAAATGTACAAGTATCAGCAGTATTAGTGGTAGCAGCTGTAGTAGTTAGTAGTTGTAGGAGCAGTAGTAGTTTTGTTTCTTTGTTGTTTAAGCCGCACTCAGCAATATTCCAGCTGTATGCTGGCGGTCTGTTAATAATCGACAAGACAATCCAGTAGCAGTTAGTTACAGTATCATTATTAGTTTAGTAGAAGTAGTAGTAGTAGTAGTAGTAGTAGAAGTAGCTATAGTCGCAGTATTAACACCAGTAGTAGTAGCAATAGGAGAAGTAATGGTATTAACAGTGGTAGCAGTAGCAATATTAGTAGTAGTATTAACAATAGTAGCAGTAGTGGTAGTAGCAGTAGTAGCAGCAGTATTAGTTTTAGTAGTAGTAGCAATAGCAATAGTCTTAGTAGTAGTAGCAATAGTAATAGTCGTAACAGTATCAGCAGTAGCTGTAGTACTTGTAGCAATACTAATAGAACTAACAATATTAGCAGCAGCAGCAGTATTAGTATTAGTATTAGTATTAGTATTATTAGTAGTAGTAGTAGTGGTGGTGGTGGTGGTAGTAGTAGTAGAAGTACTAGTAGCAGCTGCAGTAGTAATAGAAGGCACGTAATTAAACCCTGGGGTGATAAATACAAGAGTGGATATCAATAATGTGTATATCAGGAGATACTACGCAGGATACAAGTTAGCATGTCGGTCATTGGCACTGGTATCAACTGCTTATACTTTATAAAGTGAATACAAGCCATTCCGCCCACGAGGAATATCACTTCGTGAAATGACAAAAAAATCCAAAGTGCAATTTTCAAGAAATATCTCCATTGCTAGCGATAAACATCATCATTGTGTTTAGATCAGGTCGTTGCAATCTGGGTTAAGAATTTTCGTTAATAAATCATCGCCATATTTCGTGTTTCTATACACGTGTATATTTCAAGTGGCGAGGAAGGGTGTCTAGAGAATTCCTCTTTGCCAAAAGAACTCACACTTACTTCAAACTGAAACTCCGTTATTGTCGTATTTACAAACATAACGTAAGTTAGAACACACTGCTGCATACACTGGCCGTAAATATACCTTCTAATTAATCTTTAATTGTCACAGACATATCACCCTAACAAAATAGTTATACCATATGCGCGGAGCGACCTAAGTGAATTCATTGATGTTCCTGCACCCATGGATACCCCACTTTGCAGACATTAGTCAATAAAATAATGAAACATGAGTTTCTCCATATATTTATTCTGTCCTACAAATATTCATCTTACAACAGACATCACATCCCCATTGTTCTCGGTGCCTTAGGTTTGGTACCTCCCAATCTGTTGACTGATATTGTGAGAGTACCCGTTTTGCTACCAGTAATACAGCCCTTCTGACAGTCTGGGTCATGCAGAAGGCTGCAGTGTTGTGGAGTCTTTACATTCTCCGAAAAGTTCTGGGTGGGTTCGACGAGGCAGCCCTTTCTGGGAGAAGTCCCATTCGCTGTCTGGGCTGCGTGTAGAGGGGGCAAGGGCCCTGAGCTGATGATGAGCCTAACCAGCCTGCCTGTGCCAGGATCATTTAAACCCAATTTGCTTCATTTTATATTTTAATCTGTAAATAATAATAATAATAATAATAACAACAACAACAACAACAGCAACAACAACAATAATAAAAGTCAGAATACTTTCATCTGCGTATATGATATATAAATAGTCTACTTTCAAAAAGTATCATCTACTATCTTCTCGAGTAATCGACACTGGTTCTGGGTCAGTTATATATAATCTCTGGCTTAATTAATATTGACCGATTTGTTTGACTTTCTTCCTTAACATATCTTTATTGAGGTACTAACTAGACATAACGTAAATCTTCAGTTCAGTGTGTCGAAGGTACTGAAGAATGACACACGCCACACTCTCTTACAACCGGAATAAAGAGAAGAGAGTACAACATGTTCTCCAATCTACAAACAAACTACAGTTCAATATTAAAATAACAGCGAAATTATATTTCAACCATAACATGGTTTAAGACGGAGAAATCACTCTATAATAATATTATTATTGATTCTTCAGAATCAGTTCGGATTTAGAAGAAGCTGTAAATCTATCAAGTAGTCACATTTGTGTGCA